CGTCGCAGAGGACGCGAAGCGCTGAGAGTAAAAAAAATCGAATCGAGGATTCGCCTCAGGTTTTGAAAGGTGTATTCGACTTATTGGTGTTGGTAAGTATGTGACCAGTTTTAGCGCAGTTGTTGGTTCTGCCCCCTTTTTGTGGTTGGCTTACTTACCAAGGTACGTTTTTTTGTTGTTGGCTTACCTCCCTAGGTACATACTTACTACCTTTTCGTGGTTGGCCCACCTTTGCCGTGAATGAATCACTCAAAACAACTGGCGGCCAACCTCGAGCTCCTTTTTCTACTTTACTGGACGGTGGCTATGTTTATGCTGTGAGTCAAAGAAATGATTTCCTTTGTCTTCGTCTTCGGGCTTCCGCAGACCAACGAACCAAGGTACGTACTTATACAATCTCATCTATAAGAGCGCTCAGAGACTGACATTATCCCTTCCCCCCAGAAGCTACCCTCTCTTCCTTCTCTATATCAAACTCATAGGCCACTGCTTGTTACATTCATAGGTCTAGAGTACACCTCAGCACGCAAAGGCCACCAGCAACTACCTAGGTAGTCACTTGACTACTTCACACGCCACTCCCCCAGCTATCGGATACTTTCATTCCAGCACCTACTCTCCAGAACTTGGATACCATCTTGCTAGACAGGTCCTCAGAATGTCGATACCTAATGAACGTCATGGCTCGCCAGAAGACGCCCCCCCTGCCTACGAGGAAGCGACCTCACCCAATCCGCATACGACCTTGAATCAACGGAACCCGCCCGAGCTCTCAATCGCCAATTTGGACCTCTACGGCAGCATATATGCGGGCCAAGATTATTCGTTTGCGTCGTTTTTGGTCCCAAGCGATTTTTCCCATCCCCTTGCATCCCCACGAGACGGGCCTATTTTTAACGGCAGGAATGATCTAAGAAGAGTGTATGGTCCCGTTGATCAGGAATTTTTCTATCAGCTAACGGGGGGTCGCCGCCTGGTTGGGGATGAACCCGACAGTGCTCGAAGACAGGTGGGCGAGGATACCGATCGTTCTCGAACCACGGAGGACGAGCGCCAGAAGCGCCAGAAGCGCCAGGAGCGCCGGAAGCGCCGGAACGACCCATCTACTCCGAAGGAGGAAATTATCACCATGGACGTGGAATATATAATGGAATTGATAAAGGAGCGATGGCCGAAGGAGGAGAAGAAGGAAGTTCGGTATCGTCGGGAAACAGCACTCCTCAACGAAATCAGGGCTAAGCGACCGGAACTTGTGACAGCACTTGAAAAAGAGTTTAAGAGGGCTCCTTCAACCGGGGCGAAACCCAGTAAGCCAACGGCCAGGAAACCCAGTAAGCCAACGGCCAAGCAACCCGGATTTCCCTCCTGGGAGCAGTCCAGGAGGTTGCTCTTTAAGAAACCAGAGAAGCCTGATGATTTATGGTGTATGGTTCACAGCCACAAATACGTTTACCTATACACCAAAGACGGTACCGGCCGCAGTTGAGGGCGGGATCTTTCAAGGGGTTTGGGGGTATTTCGGATATAGTTTATGGCAATTTGGTTTTCTGGCGTACGCGAATTTTCCTTATAGCATGGTTGGTGGCTCTCCCCCCTCGCCTTTCGTGATTGGGTCATACTGCGGGTTACTTTTACTGGTGAACCTCCTTTGTTCATGGATACTTATGCTTCCGCAGACCAACCAACATGTATGCTCCCTCAAAGCAAATCTTGTGCATAAATTTCCCGTCGCTCGCCGTTCTCTCATCTAATTCGATCTTCTTCTTTTAAACATATCAGGCTTCTGAACCACCACCACTTGTAACGTCTTTTTCGGCTGCAGTCACATTACCCCTGCCTTCACATGCACACCGAGATCACGAGGGGCTATATCACTCGACTACCTACCTCGTCGCTGCTCAAGTCATCAGATACCCTTTATCTCCTATTTGGAAAGTATTTTGCCAAACACGTCGTCGAAATGCCGGAGTCCGACCAGCGGGATAGTTCAACCAACTCCCTTAAGCCGCTTGAACCCTCACAAGATGACACTCGCACCAAGCCTAAGGTGACTGCAAACAACATACAGTACATTAAAGACTCGCGTCCGTGGCCTCCGTCTGCAATCAATGAACTACCGCCAGAGAATAGAAAAGAGGCCTGGGACTCCTATAATTCGCAAATACAAATTACTCAAGCGCTCTTCGAGGAATGGACGAAGAAGAAGAGAGAAAAACTTAGATCCAGCAATTACATTTCTATGGAATCCGCGCCGGGAGCGCAGAAACCGGATGACGATCGCGATGTGAAAACTGAGGAAGTTTTGCAGAATGTGTCCGAACCCCAGCAGATCAACTTGGAGCAGAAAGATGACTGCTCTGAGCCATAGGAAGAGTGGTGTTATTACGGTCGGAGAAGTGGTGGAAAGGGGCTAGGGATCGGAAGATTGCCGCTGGGGAGATTTTCGTCAATCTCTTGGGTACTTTAGATCTAACAGTAAATCCGGTTCTCTGGCGCTTTCGCATCGGCATGCTGGCATGCCCAACATGTTTCTCCCTCCATAAGTACCTAGGTAGACTATCTAATGATCAAAGGAGTTATGTTGGTGGCTCTGCCCCCCTCGACCAACTACCGTGTGTATGTATCTCTTTGTTCTCGAACGTAAGCAAGATCGCTCAAAGTACCAAGAACCAACACATCTGTATCACCACCAGAGAACCTTGGATCTCGGGTATAAGACTGTGCCGCAGGTCCTTCCTGAAGGAGGTGGATTCTTCCCTCTGATATATCAGATTCTGCACCATCACCATCACCATCAGCAGCTTACCCCTGCCACATCGTAACACCTGCATCATCACTTGCTCAGATTACACGAGTCCTCCTTATTCTTTACGTTCATCTCTGCAAGCCATATATTGGACTTATCTCACTTTTACACTTCATCCTATCGTACTATCACCTCCCACGAGCCCACTACTCTAGAGTTCCAAGAACCGGTATCGCCACCAACAGACCTCAACATGGCACCCCCTGAGCCAGGCAACATCAATAATAACAATCAAATCCCTGAGGTCAGACTTCCTTTAAAGCTGGCGTATAGACCAAAATCCAAAGATACGTGTACAGAGAAGGGAACTTCGGAAAAGCTACCCGGCGATGCAAAGAAGCATCGAGTAGCCCTCAAGCTTGTTACGAGCTTTTTACCCCGTCGCACTTTCCACTCACTGAAAGAAAATCAAAACTAACGGTCGCCGCAGAATCCTCAGCATGGACAGCAGCATCATAAGTACGAGGGATTGCAATAAAGACTGGAGCGTTATCGACCACCCGTTCAAGCCGAGGTTCTAAACAGGCACTCACTCAGTGCAACTTAACCAACTAAAGGAGGATGGCAATGTGAAAACTCAGGAGAGCTCAATTACACGGGAGCCCGATAGCTTAGAATTGTACCTCAGTCCTACTTAATGAAAATGCCGTTGGCTCTCCTCCTCTTGGGGTCTCTATTTGCCTTTGTCCCCGAGCGAATGTATGTAGATGTATGTGCCAATGCACCAACGGACCTACCAACCACTCCACACCTTGTATACTACTAGTCATCTATGGACCTAATGGGTAGATGATGTGCTGAAGATCTTAGATGTTTCGAGGCGAGCTGGATTCTTTATTCCTACGGTAGATATGAGTTCTCTTTGCCTATCACCACTCACCCCTTTATCCCCCTTACCCCCCGTATCACCATCGCGACTCTCTCAAGTGGCTTAAATCACACTGAGCACCACCTCAACATGATCTGACACCCCGATATTTATAGCCAATGAAATGACGGGTGAAGAAATTGCATAGACTACCGGTAAGCAGCAGCAGATTTGGTCCCGGGTCCGTCTATGTATGTATGGTATCCATTTACCAAATCTACCCAACTTCCTTACTTCCTTACCCTTTGATTATCTCCTATGTAACACCAGAAATCCAAGGACTCTCTCTCTCTCTCTCTCTCTCTTTCCCTCAGGACTCACCATACCATCGAGTCACCATGAGGAACGCTTACTCGCTCTTACCTGAGTGAGCATGAAAATGAACCTCTTCCTCGAGACTCAAGTCGTCCACAAAAACCACACACTACACGTACGCAGACATACATACATACACCTACATACCTACTTCCTACCTCGAACGAAATGCCGACGCCCCCTAATCAGGACTAACTAATTAACTAACCGACCAATTGCTCTCGATCACGACCATTCATTCAATCACCTGTCTGCCACTTTTCGAGATATGATCATCGCAGTATGTATGTATTCGGGCTAACTCAAAATGCGCGACATCGACATGCTGGTGCTTCGCGATGAAATACATACATATGCCTTCATCTCATAAGCCAGCCGTAGAGCGTGCGCCTGGCGTGATATTAATGCGAAACCTAACAAACAGACGAGGGACATGTAAGATATATTATATATATGTATCGGGCTGTCAGTTCTATATATATCTATGACACACAAGCGCGCTCGCTACTCTCCGACCCTTTCTTCGACCATTTCTTCTTCTTCTCAGAGGATGATGCATCCATCATGCGCCTCCCGCCCGCCCCTAGGATGGATGAAAGGGATCTCTGTCTGTCTTGTCTCGATTCGCAACGCCCCATAAGGTTGGTTAACTTAGTCGGGGATCCTGATGACTGACAGTGACACCTCTCTATGCGGGCAAAATCAAATCAACGTTATTATAACTACCTACCTACCTACCTAACCTAGTCATCACACCTTACAACTCAACCAAAACCAAACCAAAACCAACCTTCGATACCTATCTCTCTCCCCCCCTCCTATTCCGTAGATATCCCCCCGTGAATAAATAAATACCCGTAGTAGCAAACTTGATATGTGTCACGAACGGCCCGAAAGCAAAAGCAAGCTCCACACGGGGAAGAAATTTTTTTTCATTTTTCATTTTCACAAACTATTTACCTATATATATATCAATAACATAAACATGAATCATCCAATCAGATGAATCAATCCGCTGTGGTGTAATGGCTAACATCTGTCGCTCTCATGAGAGAAGATTCATTTCTCAGAAAGATCCGACAAGCTCGGGGTTCGATTCCCCGCAGCGGAGAAAGACACGTTTGGTTTTTTGCAGTCAGTTCTTTTTTTTTTTTTTGCCGTCTCACGGCGGTGGCGAGCATGAGTATTGAATTTTTCGCCATTTATGGCGGATGGTTGGTTGTTGTGTTGGCTGGCTCAGTGGTCAGTCATATCAGTCCGGCAAATTGCACCTCTGTTCCCCGTAAGAGGAGGGGTTCATGGTCGGAAGGGAGAAAGAAGTATGATCGAAGTAGATAGATAGATACCTAGGTAGACACTCCTCCTAGATCAGCCATGACATTACTACATTACGCCTTCAATGTTGTTTGGGCCGCGTGCTCGAAGGACTCCTCTGCAGTAGATCACCACTCTCCAAGCCCGTTGTTTGGCGCGCGATAGCAGCGAGCAGCTCCAATTTTGCAGTCCATGGCGGAAGATAGGCGAACCTGCTCCGGTCAAGCACACAGACACGACGTCACGAAAAAAAGATAATCAAGACTTCGCGCATTAAACAACATTGCACGTGAACATGACGAGGTAAAGAAAACAAACCGACAGGTGCGGGAGGGTTAGATACGTGTGGCCAAGGAAGGTGCTATCGCCAAAACAGCAACGACGTTGTCGTGGTGGGGCGCGTGCATCGCTGTCCATAATAGCAGCCAAGAACACGATCCGAAAAAGCAGAAGGCAAGCAAGTGAAAAAGAAGTATGAGGCTGTAAATGATCAACATAGGATAGAATAGTACTCGGTTTTGCGCATCGTAAGTGTGCAAGACGGCCAACCGCCATTTGCGACAGGATGGTTCAGAATCTTGTATTGTATTTCTCTAAGTAAGGCTAACTCGATGCTGCCAAGCAGCGGGAATGAGCTATCTGAAAATGATCGTACGGTTTTGGATGTACGATGATTGGACCTGACTTGAAAAATAGAATGAATAATCTTGTTTCGTGTATGTAGGTAGGTAGGGTAGGCGTTGATCAGCAACACCACGAATTATCGTGAATAAGGGTGTGGAGGCATCGTCGCCAATCATCAATGCAGTGCCTGGAGTAAGCCATGCATTCGAACATCGGAAGCCACAGACAAGGCGCTGCGACTAATCGGGCTCTAGCAGCATCGACATAGCAGGGTCCATCGTCCCTAGTGACATAATCGTCCAGGTAGACAGGGCACCGCATGATGTGGAAGGGGGCAGAGAAGGCAGGTGCAGCAAGCCGCTTGACCAGGGAATACCAAGGAAGGCAAAGGATATTTCTTCCTCACCTCGCGCGAACAAGCACACGATAGCAATGAAAAAAAAAAGTTTGGAAACACGCCTGTCAGACGTCCACCAACGCCCACCCCGGCCGCGCGCCCGAAGGCAAGACCGCGAGCAAAAACGGGGTAGAGATCGTCACCACTCTCTATACAGCCAGCATTCAAGAGAACACCGACCGCCATCCTTGCGGACAGTTCGAGAGTCAACGGGGGAAGGAACCCGCCAGAGGCAGGAGCCCCCCGCCTTCCTAGGGCTAGGAAGAAAAATCTTCACTCTAGGGCATTGGGGATATTCGCTCATCAACCAGGGTGGGATCTGTAGCTCTAATAGAGAATATAGAGCGGGACGAATACTATAGAAATGATTCTCTGAAGTCTGTTTTTCGTAGAAGACAAGAGGTTAGTGAGATGTTCGTTTGGGTTGGGAGGGTTGAGGGTATGGGGGGAGGGGTAGACTTGCATTGTCGTGTGAAGAAAAAAAGAAGAAAAGAAAATCCAGAACGGAGGGAGGGAGAGCAGCTATTTATGTGATTTCTGAGAGCGGTGTGCGGCAGAATCACCCAGGGCGGTGAGAATAAGCGTGGCAGAATCCGCGATTTTTCATTGGCCAGGCTAAAAAATCCGCAGTGTCCCATTAGAATTTTTGATTGAGGCTTAAGCTCAAGCCCACCTGCAGCCTCGCAAGTGGCAGCCAATTTTCTCATTGGCTGCTAGTGTGCGACCGTCTGTCAGCAGGCGAGGCTTGATTCTTTCTGATTGGCTCATAATATCTCGACATGGCAAGGGGATCAGGGATCAGTCGGGAAAATTCGAATTTCTATCAGGTTCTCATTACGGCAGAACATTGATCTGGCCAATCCGGTGCGTGCTCTCACGTAATGCGTAATCAGGTCCTGGTTATTTCCTCCAATTTTCCGTGTCATACGAGACCCATCTTGCCATCAAGGTTGGCGGTTGCCTGGCCATCATCCCAACAAATTGCGGCCTGATGAAACATCCATCCACTGCAGACTCGCACACGTGGGAATCGGAATCTTGGGAACATGCTTGCACAAGCGAATGTTTTTGCCATTCGGGCGGAATTTCTGCAAAGCTATCTGCAAGTCCGCTTTATTTCCTGATAGCTATGCGGAAATATCCGCTTGATTGGCGACTGCACGTGTCAAGCAGTGTCTGGTATCTTCACATCGAATAGGTAGACATCTGGAGATAGATATATTTCCGTTCTAGAGCCTCATGTGCATGTATCTTCTATCGTGTTCTAGATGCCTATGGACATCAGCCCGAGTCATACCAATGGTCGGCATTGAATCTTCCATTGCATATTTCCATTCCGACTCAGATCTTCAATATCATTACCTATCGCCTCTTGCCTCCCTTCCCTTTCTTTCTTTCCATCTCTCTCGCGTGGTGGCAATAATACATGGCAGCATTTCAAAGCACCGTACTTGATCAGGTACCAGACCATCCATCCACCCCTCCCTCCATAAATGTGTACAAACAGTCAGTCATTCTCCCTCCATATCGGTTTCAAAATATCCTCGTCCATCCACCTACTTAATCTACCTAGGTACCTACCTACCTAGCCCCATCAGCACCCTTCCCTCACGCCCAGCCACATACTCAAGCCATGACCGTGACCGTGACCATGACTGATCATGAGCACGAATGACTCCGGTATCTATCTACACCTAGTAAACAGCAGCAAATGAGACGTATTTATGTAGAACAAAGGATATTCATCACGAGTATTCCTGCCTAGGTAGGCAGTAGGTTATATATATATCCGTATCTCACACTTCTCCATCACCCCCCCCCCCCCCCCCCCCTTTTTTTTTCCCCCTTCACTGTGTGAGAGCGAGAAGGGGAGGAAGAGGGGGGAGAGAGAGAGAGAGAAAGAAATATAGAGAAAAGAAAAAAAGGCCATGATAATGATAATAATGATGATGATAATAATAAATCCACATATCTATGTATAAACCCCTGTAACCCGTAAAACACAATGCAAAAAACCCAAGCATGCAAGCAAGCATGCAAGCAAGCAAGGCACGATGATATGAATAAAACCATGAGACTTTCGGAACCGATGAAGATCGGAAGAACAGAGAGGCATGAGAGCAGACAGATACACAAGAGAGACAGACAGGCACACAAGACAACAAGAATCAGAGGCTCCTCCAAAGAGAAATCATATCGGTTGCATAATGATTTCGGGTATCAATAAACGTGTCCGGCGGACGGATAGCTGTAGGAGTAGTAACAGTAATACGTTCTTCTTCACCAAAGGTGTATCATCGGTCTCAAGTCTCCTCGTGCGCTCCGACAGTCTGTGCGCCCAACTTCTTTTCCTTTTGGAGTCCCCTGCCTTTTCATTGTCACCCTCATCATCATCAACAACAGCAGGCCAGATCGCCCTTTTCAACAGCGCACAAACTATCTTTTTTCTCGCCCAAGCAACAAGTCAACGAGTTTCACAATCTACCGTGCCGCCATAGCAACGGCTCCGGCGGCTCCGGCAGCACCTCTCCCTACGGCCTGATAACTCGTCCACGTCCCATCACTACCTAGGGTATCGAAGCGCGAGCCCCGGTAGTCCTTACCCACCCCCTCCCAATCTTCCGTAAAGCCGGAGAAGTAGAACCCGACAACGACAACCACATAGGTGAGCAGGAGGATGCTGCCCTTGAAGTAGTTGCTCTTGCCCTCGCCGTACATGTACGAGAGCAGGAACACGCACAGGATCACCGTAACCATATCCCACTGCGGGAAGAGGAGGGAGAAAGTCCAGTGCGCCGGGTCCAAGTCCGGTCCGGTCGGCTGGATTGGATAGACGGCCGAGAAGAACACCAGGGCCGGGATTTGGAGAAGGCATACTTGTAAGGCATACGCCGAACCGATTTCCATGGATAGGGCGATGTTGCCGTTCATGGCGAAGGAGATGGCGTTCTATTATGGAAGGGGTATCACGATCAGTGGATGTTTTTTTCACCATAGAATCTTTGGAGGAGACTTACCAGAAATTCGGTGGTGTTAGGTACCAGGGCAAACAGAGTAATACCCAAAAACTTCGGATCAATCGCATAGTTGTCCAATACCACATCGACCGTGTCAACTAGGATCTCGGCGACAATAGCGTACAAGATAGTAGCGCCCATGAGAATGACGGCACTCTTGGTCCGACCCCAGTTCGGAGCGTCGTGTCCACCATGGGTGGCTTGAGCTTGCACCCCCATTTCTTCCATGTCAGGGAACGTGCTCGTGCGAAGCGGCGTAGGCCGGCTAGTCGAGCCCCCAGCCCCTACGCTGGATGGCTGATGAGATATGCGACGGGGGCCGGCCCGAGCATCGCGTGCTGCAATGGCTGCTGCAGTTGCAGCGAGTTCGGTTACACCGCGGACAAGATTGTTATTCTCGATGTCCGAGAAACCGGGAATCTGGACGTGAGATCGAATGGTATCCGTCCCACTGCCGCTTGTCTTCGGCGGAACCATATGCGGTGTCTGAACAGCGCCGTTCGGTGGAGGAACCCCTGACGGCTGGCGAGAATGAGGGCCGCTGTCTTCACCGGGTAAACCAACCTGTCTCAGGGACTGACCCAATATGCGTTTATAGAGATGACTGTCGCGAATGTCGGCACCACTGGCATCAACGATGTTCCGTCCCTCAGATGAACGGGCAGCCATCTGGTGTTGCGCTTCGTCATGCTTCTTCTCGTCCATCTCGGAGTTCCAGATCACGGCAGCGTGCGTGCGAAGGGTGAACCATAGACCGAT